AATTCAACCCAGAAAAGTGTGAAGTGATTCATTTTGGAAGGTCGAATTTGAATGCAGAATGCAGGGTTAATGGCAGGATTCTTGGCAGTGTGGAGAAACAGAGGGATCTTGGGGTCCACGTCCATAGATCCCTCAAAGTTGCGACCCAAGTTGATAGGGTTGTAAAGAAGGCGTATGGTGTGTTGGCGTTCATTGGCAGGGGAATTGAGTTTAAGAGCCGTGAGGTTATACTGCAGCTCTATAAAACCCTGGTTAGACAACACTTAGAATATTGTGAGGGTCTAGGCCCGAAACGTCAGTCATTCTGCTCCTATGATGCTGCTTGGCCTGCTGTGTTCATCCAGCCCTGCACCTTGTTGACTTAGAATATTGTGTTCAATTCTGGTCACCTCATTACAGGAAAGATGGGGAAGCTTTAGAGAGGGTGCAGAGGAGATTTACCAAGATGCTGCCTGGACTGGAGGGTAGGTCTTATGAGGAAAGGTTGAGGGAGCTAGGGCTTTTTCATTGGAGCAAAGAAGGATGAGAGGTGACTTGATAGAGGTTTACAAGATGATGAGAGGCATAGATAGAGTGGATAGTCAGAGACTTTTTCCCAGGGCGGAAATGACTATTACGAGGGGGCATAATTTTAAGGTGATTGGAGGAAGGTATAGGGGAGATGTCAGAGGTAGGTTCTTCACACAGAGACTGGTGGGCGTGTGGAATGCACTGCTGGCAGTGGTAGTGGAGTCAGATACTTTGGAGACTTTTAAATGACTCTTGGATAGGTACATGGAGGATAGTGAAATGTAGGGTATGCAGGGTAGATTGATCTTAGTAGGATAATAGGTCAGCATGACGTTGTGGGCCGAAGGGCCTGTACTGTGCTGTACTGTTCTATGTTCTATGTTCTTACCACCCTGTTTCCCAGCCAGGCCTTGTTATCACATAACCTGCCATTACACACTAGCTATTGTTAGTCACTAACAATCTCCATTAAGAACTATTCACCCTCCCGGCCAGATAACTATCAACTTCTTTGTCTGTCCAACTGTTCTTCTCTCTCTTTGGGCTCTATCCTATCAATTACTCCCTACCCCATCCCCTCCCTATTTTCTACATATAAACCGACATTTTACCAGCTACTATCACTTCTGAGGAGAGGTCACTGAATCCAAAACATTAACTCTGATTTTTCTTCACAGGTGTTGCCAGACCTGCTGAGCTTTTCCAGCAACTTCTGTTTTTTTAACCAAAGAGATTGATGCATGCAGAGCAGTAGATGTTGTTTACTTGCATTTTAATAAAGCCTTTGACAAGGTTTCACATGCTAGACTAATCAGTAAAGTTGGATAAGATGGGATTCAGGGTGAGCTTGCCAGTTGGATGCAAAATTGGCTTTATGGTAGGAGACAGAGGGTGGTAGTGGTGGCCTGTGAATAGCGGTGTTCCACAGGGATTGGTGCGGAGTCCACTTTTGTTTATCATTTATATAAATGATTTGCATGAGAATATAGGAGACATAGTTAGTAAGTTTGTGGTTAACAGCAAAATTGGTGGTGTAGTGAACAGTGAAAATGATTATCTAAGACTACAAAAAGATCTTGATTGATTGGGTCAATGGGCTGAGGAGTGGCAAATACAGTTTAAAGTGGATAAATGTGAGGTATTGCATTTTGGTAAAACAAACAAGGGCAGGATTTATACAATTAATGGTAGGGCCCTGGGTAGTGTTCTCAAACAGAGGGACCTAGGGGTTCAGGTACATAATTCTTTGAAATTTGTGTCACAGGTGGTTAAGAAGGAATTTAGCACATTTGTCTTCATTGCTTAGACCTTTTAAGCACAGGAGCTGAGACATCATGTTGAGGTTTTACAAGGTATTGGTGAGGCCTCTTCTGGAGTACTGTGTATAGTTCTTGTTGCCCTATTATAGGAAGGATATTATGAAACTGGAGAGGGTTCAGAAAAGATTTACCAGGATGTTGCTGGGAATGGAGGGTTTGAGTTATAAAGATAGGCTGCATGGGTTTATAAAGGTTTATAAAATCATGAAGGGCATAGATAAATTGAATAGCAAAGGTCTTTTCCATAAGGTGGCAGAGTTCAAAACTAGAAGGCACTTTTTAATGTAAGAGGAGGAAGATTTAGAAAGGACGAGACAACTTTTCAACACAGAGAGTGGTTCGTGTGCAGCATGAACTTCCAGAGGAAGTGGTGGATACAAGTGCAGTTACAATATTTAAAAGATATTTGGATAAGGTCATGAATAAGAAATGTTTAGAGGGATATGGGACATACACAGGCAAGTGGGGCTAGTTTAGTTGGGAACATGGTCAACATTGATGAGTTGGACCGAAGTGTCTGTTTCCTTACTGTATGACTCTATGACTACTCTATTTTAAAACCACATGGTCTTGTTCAACTTCCAATCCAGGGCTGAGTGCATAAGAGCCAAGGCTGATATTTTAGTGCAGTACTGACGGACCACTGCACTGTTCTGAAATGACTCCACAGAGACTGATGTCCTATCACCAAGTTACCCTTTATTTACACGTAGAGAGTTCTTGACACTGATCCAGCTCTGTTAGAGTCAGCTCTCAGAGTAAACAGGATGTCTGATACTCCTGTTCTTATCTGTCATCCAGGGCTCCCTGATTGGACCAGATTAATAGCCCCAATCAGGGAACTCATATTCTTTGATGTCCACCTGGCTGACCCTATTGCAATCAATTCAGTTTAAGGTGCCATCCCTTGATGTGTTATCAAATTAAACCTCATTCAGATGTATGTAAAACATCTCCAAGTATGATTTCAAAGAAGAGTAGAACATTTCTCCCAGCGCCCTAGCCAATATTTATTCCTCAATTAATGTCACAAAAACACTCATTATCACATTGGTAATCGCATTCATAATAAGAGATTTGGTGCAATATGGATGTTAGTCTATGATGCCAACACAACCGACACAAGATTGGAGCCAATTATGACGATATCATAACTCTGTTGCTGATATTTTGCTTCTAGTTCACTTGCTTCCTTTGTTGTACTGGCCTAGGTATTTATTGTATAGTATTTATGGGAAATTGTAGAATGTGAAATTTTCCAGTTTTCAGTAATGTTTTCTGAAGTAACAAGCTAATAAAATGTGAACTCAGATTCTCAGGTTTTTGTTTGAATTATTCATTGTAAAGAATTGTGTTCAGTCCAATATTGTTTTCTGTCCAATTTTGATTTCCAATCTTTCTTTGATTTCTCTGTCTCCACCATAAAATCCAATTTGTAAAACATCTAATGGAATTCCTGCTTAAAGTTCACATTTAGATTCATTGATGATTTAAAAATACAGTTTTGGCGTAATGACCACTTATTGGTAATCAGACAGGAAAGCATTTGGAGATTAACCTTATAATGTGTGCTCAGAAGAAATTCTGCAAGCCATGGGTTTTTTAAATGTTTTGAAACAAACTCCATGTAGCCTTCACCACAAAAAACAAACGTGGTTTGAAAAAAAAGGTACAATAGTAACATTCATTGGAAAGAGGAATAAATTAGCATGCTACTATTTTGAATTCTCCATGCTGTTACTTGACAAAAGGTGATTTCTTATGGTTCCATTGGAAGAATAAAATCTTTGATATTCCTGCAAACTACATTGAACAGCAACAAGATGCCAGCTCTTATATGCTGAAGGCAATCTTCAGTCCAATAACACAGTATTTCTTTGTCCTTAACACTTACACAAGGAAGTTATAAAAATGAGAAACCACAAAAGGCATTGGAGGAAGAACTCTTTAAATGGAAAGAATGTTGAATACACGGAAAGCCTGTAAGATTCCGTGCCCCAAATTACTTCTCTTTTGGCTCAAATGCCGTGTTTTCTAATGAAAACAGTCTGCCAACAGGAAAACATTTCACAGAGGGACACTGTAGGGCCAGAGATATGATCATCCTTCTGATGCTGTTTAAAGAATGCTCTGTCATATTAAGGAAAGTTGTGTGCCAATACAGCAAATTAATTTTAGCCTTTTCTGGACTATTTTGGAGTTGGCTCTATATTAAATGCCAACATTTAAATAAGTTACTTGCAAGATGTCATGACTTAACTGACTGCATTTTCTGCGTTATGTTTGAGGTTCCTTGAAGTGAAACATTCGTTTTGGGATTTTTGTTTGTTTGGGACCTTTGCGCTTGAGCGTGTCCAAAACTTTGGTGGCTGATTTTCACCAAGCCCAACGCACTCCTCACCCCTGCAACTGCTGGGAAACTTCACACCCATCAGTCAGTGTTGATTAATGGAATCCATTGCTGCCGTGCATGGATATTGAGGTCTGCACAACAGCAAAACAAAGTTCCAGCAAACATTGTCAGCAGCATCTCAATTTTAACCTTCTAATCCTTGTTTATTATTCCTGCCATGGTCTTACTCCTCCAAATCTCTGACAATAAGATGTTGTTCGACCCCACCAGCCTGCTCTGCCACTCAATTTGTTTAATGCATCCTGATCAATGGTGTGACTCTTTGAGTTTTTACGTATAAATTCTGTCTCTGATACTACCTCTCTCACTAACACCTGAAGAAGGAGTGAGGCTCTGAAAGCTTGTGCTTTTAAATAAACCTTTTGGACAAAACTTGGTGTCATGTATTTCTGACATTCTTTTAAGCTCCAGTGAAAATAGTCCTAACCAATTCAGTCTCTCTTCATATGGCAATCCTGACGTTATTAGTTGGCAAGCAAACAGTTAACTCTGGTTGATCATTTATTAGCCCTGACTGGTGTTAGTAGAGTTGGGTGATATTGGTTTAAATCACAATGCCCTTCCTGTAATTTTAGTTGAGATGAATTAATTGAAGATCAAAGCTGCACCCCACATTTTACCATCAATGGACTCACAAAGGCAGAAGGGAAATCCAGCTGTATATTTCAGGATTGCACATATCTTTAATTCTCAAAGAAATACAGCAACATAATCACATGATGTAATGTTGAGAGCTTAAAGTTCATTTGATTTTTCAGATTCACTGGCCTGCAACCAAAGAAAGAGTTGAAATGTGCAAATTGACTGGGAAACATCCTTTGGTAAGTATCACTGCAATGTAGCCATTTCATTAATTAAACTTGTCACTATGCATTCTACATTATTTCTGCATTATGTTATATCTTTTTTTTATTGGGTAATTGACACTTAAGTATCAAACAAAACAATCCGATACAGCTTCTCGATCATTCCAGAATTATATTGTGAGTGCTCATTGTGTTATAGGTTCACATCACTGATCTGTTACAGTGTACGGAAAGCCCCGTGTGTGGATCCACAGGGGCCTGGATCACAGCGATGTGGATCACAGGGTGTGTCAATCATGGCTCATGGGGAGACAAAGCATGAATAATTCTGCCAGTCAAACAAGCTGGCTTTAGTGCTGCCGAACCTGAGTGAAGACATTCGTGGGGCAAAAGGAAACATTGTGAACTTTGGAAATCTGAGAAAAAAAGAGAAAATGACAGATGTCCACAATAGGTCATTCAACCTTGTAAAAGAAAATGTTGTTTAACTTTTCACTGATATCTCCCTGACAGAAGCTATACTTCAATTGTGATCTTTTATTGCTGAACAGAACATTTGAGTAGATTGAGATGTGAGGAGATAGACTTGTACTAAAGTGTGTCTGTTCAAAATATGTGTTCTGCAGTTGTGCAATTTCTGCAATATTAGTGAACATGGATTTGACCAACATAAACCATTTCAATGCTCATAGTCATTATAGATTGTCTCAACTCCAGCACTACCAGTCTTCTCCCTTTGTAAATTCCATGCTAAATCCCTCTTGCATTCAGTTATACTAATGAAATATCCATGTGAAATGTTACTGGAACTCTAAGGACAGCATGGCTAAGCACATGGATGAATTTTGGCTGAGAGACAGTCAACGTGCATATGGTTAAGGGTAACAAAGCAAACTGATTTTAGGGGAAGTAAGAAAGGCAAGTCACTATAGTCCTGCTCTCCCATTGCAGAGAGGCAACTGGTAGTGCTTTAACCTGAGGGTCAGCCACCAGGTGAGGGGAAAGTTTGAGGAGGGGAATCCTTCATGGTAACCTCATCCAATGTCAGAAATGCACCCACACTGTTGAAATTACTCTCCATTGCAAACCAGTCAACCAGCCAACTGACCCCCAAATTAAAGTTGTGGAGAGGGGAATATCTATGGATACAGTTTATTTGGACTTCCAGAAGATAGCCAACAGGATTTCACATTAGAAACTGTGTTTGTTATTAAAGCTTATTGAGTTGAAGGTATTTATCATACTGGGGAGGAAATGACCTTTGTGATAGCTGACTGAAAGTACAAATTGTAGGTATGTAGTCCAACTGTGTTACTGACCTGCTAAACACAATAGGCAGCCTTGCATTCCAGTTTGTTAAACATTGGTGGCAGGGTAAATATTGTGGTAGATATTGGGACCATAACATTAGAAAGGGAGAGTGATAGATTAAGTGAATGGGTAGAACTGTGACAGATGGATTTCAATGCAGGTTCTCTATTCATTCATGTGATGAGGGCGTCGCTGGCTAGGCAGCATTTATTGCCCATCCCTAATTGACCAGAGGGCAGTTAAGAGTCAACCACATTGCTATGTGTCTGGAGTCACATGTAGGCCAGACCAGGTAAGGATGGCAGTTTCCTTCCCTAAAGGACATTAGTGAACCAGATGGGTTTTTCCGACAATGGATTCATGGTCATTGTGAGACTCTTAATTCCAGATATTTTATTGAATTCAAAGTTCACTATCTGCCATGGCGAGATTCAAACCTGGGTCCCCAGAACATTAACTGGGTCTCTGGATTAACAGTCCAGCAATAATACCACCAGGCTATCGCCTACCCAGGTAAATTGTGATCATTCATAAGTGCAGAAAAAGATAGATGCGTGTAATTCTTAACTGGTGAAAATCCAGGAACAGTGATATTCCAAAGATATTCAAAGATTGCTAAAAGATTAAACCATATGACCATAAGAAATAGGAACAGGAGTAGGCCATTTGGCTCCTTGAGCTTGCTGCACTCATTCAATAGGATCATAGCTGATCTGACGCCCCTAATGTCCACTTTCCTGCCCTTTCCCCATAACCCTTCATTCCCCTACTGATAAGAATCTATCTATCTCAGCTTAAATATACACAAGGACTCTGCCCCACAGCCCTCTGTGGCAAGGAGTTCCAAAGATTCACAACCCTCTGAGAGAAGAAATTCCTCCTCAACTCAATCTTAAATTGGCACCCCTCTCTTCTGACACAATGTCCTCTGGTCCTAAACTCTCTCATGAGGAGAAGCATCCTCTCAATATTTACACTGTCAAGACACTTAAGAATCCTATGTGTTTCAATGAGATCACCTCTAAGCCTTCTAAAATCTGCCGAGTGGAGTCTCAATGTGTTTAACCTTTGCTCATAAGGCAATCCCTTCATACAAGGGATCATCCTAGTGAATTTTCCCTGAACTACCTCCAATGAAATGATATCTTTCCCTTAAATAAGGGACCAAAACTGTTCAAAGTGCTCCAGATGTGGTCTCACCAACACCTTGTATAATAGCAGTAAGGCTTCCCTACTCTTGTACTCCAACTCCCTTGAGGGAAGGGACACTTAATGACTAAATAAAGGATGCTTCCTGACTACTTGTACACCTTTGTGCCTCCATTTAAATAATATTCTGTTCTTTTGTTTTCCCTTCCAAAATGAACAACTTTTCATTTTCCCACAGTATACAACATTTACCAGCATTTTACCCATTTACTTAACCTATCAATTTCTCTCTGTAAACCATTTGTATCTATCACAAAATGAGCTTTTCCACTTATTTTTGTGTCATCCGCAAATTTAGCTAGAGTACATTCACTCCCTTCCTCCGTGCCATTAATATATATTATAAACAGTTGCAGTCCCACCACTGACCCCGTAAAATCCATTCATTACAGATTGCCAATCTGAAAAAGAACCCCTCATGTCCACTCGCTGTTTCTTACCCATGAGCCAATTCCCTATCCAATAACCATAAAAGAATGTTATAAAAAGGTTATAACAATAGGGAAAAAAGCTTGGCCCCAGTGATACTAAGTCCAGGCTACACCATGTCTAGATTATGCTGTATGGTTCCTGTGTCTCACCTTAGGTAGGAAATATCAAGTTTGCAAAGAGTTCAACATGGATATAATTTCTTAAAATTCATACATGGAAATTGGTTATTGATGACAAGGATATCGTTTCTTGCTGGTTAGAAGCTTGTGTTGATCCTCTGATTCAGTTGAATAGTTTCCATCTTGCAGGCTCATTGACAGCCCATCTACATTTTTAAAATTTGTTCATTGGATGTTGGCATTGCTGGCTGGGCCAGTATTTATTGCCCATCACTAGTTGCCCAAACAACAGTTAAGAATTAACCCCATTGCGGTGGTTTTAGATGTAGGCTACGGGACGGGAGGCAATGGCCTAGTGGTATTATTGCTGGACTGTTAATCCAGAAACCCAGGTAACGTTCTGGGGACCTGGGTTCAAATCCCGCCATGGCAAATGGTGGAATTTGAATTCTGTAAAAATCTGGAATTAAGAGTCTAATGATGACCGTGAATCCATTGTCAATTGTTGGAAAAACCCATCTGGTTCACTAATGCCCCTTAGGGAAGGAAACTACCATCCTTATCTGGTCTGGCCTACATGTGACTGCAGACCCACAGCAATGTGGTTGACTCTCAACTGCCCTCTGGGCAATTAGGGATGGGCAATAAATGCTGCCTAGCCAGCAATGCCCTCATCCTGTGACTGAATAAAGAAAATAGACTGGGTAAGGATAGCAGATTTCCTCCCTGAAGGTGATGTGATAAAGGTGGGTTTTTCACAACTATCAATGGTGGTTATGTGCTCACCACTAGACTAGCTTTTAATTCAAGAATTTTATTGATGTCCAATTTAATCATCTGCCCTGTTGGGATTTGAGCAATGTCCTGGGACATTAGCCTTGATTCTAGATTATTAGTATTCTTGGGATATTACCACAATGCCACCACCTCCGCACTGCAGTATGTCTGCTGTCACATCATAGATTAGAGGAGATCCTTCTCTTTAGGACAGATGTGAACCAGATGGGATTTAATGATAATTCAGTAGTTCCCTAGTCACCATTCTCAATACAAACATTTATTCCAGATTTATTTGCTGGCCAAATTTAAATTCCTTGGCTCTCATGATTGGATTTGATTTCAAGTTACAAGATCATTAATGCATGCCCCAGGATTTTAAGTCTAATGACATAGCCACTATGCTACTTGACTATTTTCCAAAATGTTACCAGACCTCCATGGTTTAAATTATGAGGGGTAACTACATAAATAAAGTTTGTATAATATAAGGTTAAGGGATGAGTTGACTGAGGGTTTTAGGAATTTGAAAATAATTGTTAGGTAGATCGATCTTTTTGCCACTGGCGGAGGAATCTTGGATCAAGGGACATAATCTAACGATCAGAGCCAAGCCATTCAGGAACAAAGTTAGAAAACACTTTATCAGGTAAAGGATAATAACTATGTGGATCTCTCTCCCAAAAACATCCATAAATTATGGGGCCCAATTACAATTTTACATTTGAGGTTGGTAGATATTTTGTTGTCTAAGAGTAATAACCTAAATGGAGTCAAGGAGAGTAAATACAACTTTTAACTCAGATCAGTTGTTCTCTTATTCATTGCTGGAATTATCTGTAGGTGATGAATGGCATCTTCCTAATCTGATAGTGAGTACTTCCTACTGAAAAGTAAAATGGAAACACATTTGCTGTAATTAATTGGAGTATTTTGCTGGTGTGTTCCAGATAAATGCTAACTGTTAAATATTGTGCACTTACTTTTCTTAATGACCTTTCTTCCTCTTATAACATTCAATAAAGGGGATTTCTATATGAAGAAATGTATCTGAGATTAAAATGACCATTGTAAATTGTTTAAGATAGAAATGAATATTAGTTGTGGCAAAAAGGAGTTATGTCAAAGGTTTCCCAGGACCCACATCCAATTACATATCTACAAAATCCCATTCAGAAAGTTTGACTTTGTGACACGTAAAATGATGAATGTAACCTTTTGCTGCTAGGTGCTAGGGGTCACATTAATGAAACACGTATTTTGGCAGTTTCAGCCAAGCACCCTGTTGACATGAGCCTGGAGGGCATGGTGCTGAAAGTGGGGTTGAGTTTTCATTGTAAAGTCATTTGCATGGGGCCCTAGTTAATGGATTTCATCACTCTAGCCTTGAGCACTATTCTATCATCACATTTATAATAATGACAATAATTCTTCTTTATTTAACCAAACTAAATCAAATGCTCCATAGATATATTCTCTCTCACCCTGGGGTGAACATCAAGTCATGCAAAGTTTGTTTCAATCGTGACTTACAAAATTGGGCTATTTCTGCTCAAAGTGTTAGGAGCCCTTAATAAATAAACTGCTGTTTGCATTCTGTTAACAATTGACTGCAAGCCTATTTTAAAAAAAGACACAGCATAAAACTCCATCCACATTTAACCTGTACAATAATTACTTTGTGTAACATGCTTTGTTGTAGCATTTGGCAATAAACAATTGTTATCCACAAAATCACTTCTATTGCCTGCCACAAAATTTGGAAACATAAAATTAGAAAGATAAGACATGTTTATTTAAAGTGATTTAAACTGAATTTAAAGTGATCCCGTCTGGGTTGTATTCTGTTACAATCTAAGACAGTAGAGTGGAAGTTAATACCGAGCAATCTGAACAGAAGTGGTCCTGAGATATGATCAATAATTAACATAGAAGCAAGTTACAATGAGCAGAGCAGTCTTATCAAGCATGAAGAAATAATTCATACAAACTAAAGAATCTGATACCTATTCTACACCAACACCAATACAATTATGTTGCAAATGTTTCTAAAGATGAAGCTGCCTTTCATGTGTCATTTTAATGAATTTTTCCTTCAGATTTGTTTGAGACTTCACTGTGATGATTTTTTGTCTTTTTTTAAATAAAGAAACCTGAAACTTATAATACAAGCAACTCAATACTGTGAGTAGCTGTGTCAAAAAATGACCGGGAAAGCTCTTGGCTTTGATCTCTAGTCTCAGATGATTTACTCCACTTCAGTTAGAGAGGGGAACTTGATTAAGCTACTCAATTCTGAACACCATGCAGCTCCTCCTGCTAAAAGGACACATGCATTTTGTGTGGAAAAGTGGGAATAAGACTTTGTGCTCATCCTGCACATTTTATCATCAAGATTTCTTGTTGCAATTTGCAATTTCATATTTGATTCACTCAGTTCAAAGAAAGATTCATCAGTAAATGAGTCATGCTCACTTGGACATGGCATGGTGTTTGCTCAATGTTTTTGGAATGATAGTGCAGCAATGAGATGACGGCTTCAGCAGAGTAGGAGAAAGAAAGGCTTGTTGGTGGTGGGGTCAAGAAAGTGTGAGGACAACATAAAAGCTTATCATTGAGTAGTATTTTCTACAACAGTGGGATTTGGTGGTTGTTATGATATTACAAGACATTTTTACCTTTATTTTTGGCAATCCTAAAACCCAGGTAGTTACTAAAAGAATTAAACCACAATGTTCACTATTTAAAGCTAAGGTGTTGTATTACACAAAAGGAATAATCACCACATGCTGTTTTAAATATTAATTATGTTAGAAATATTAAAATGGAATGAATAGTTATCTGTACTCTAAGCTGAACTTGTTAACTCAGATTTTCTTCTTCGTTGATTTGACTTACAGCAACAAATAACTTGAATTAGATACTTATCAGATATTGGAAGATTAAATACTTGGCCTGAGGAACATTTCAAACGATTATATAAGGTTTTAGATTTCTTAACCAATGTGCCCACTTCTGGTAAAGTTGTCCCTTCAAATGTCTTTGAAATGTTGCATGATCCCAGACTCCCGGTTCAACACAGGTGTCACTTGTGTATTAAACATAGCCTGCTCAAGTCAGGTCTCTCTTGGCTCTAATGTTTTCTTTAAAATGCCTCACTCTTCTTTCAGTTTGACTATCTCATAAGTCCAACTCACTGCAGGTGGAGTCCTTCAACTATCAGGAGTTATGAATCCTTATAGACAGTTTGCAGAAATTCAACTGAATACTGTTTTAAGGAGATGATTCGAGCAGCCAGCTTGTTTTAAAATAAAAAAAACATTCCCAGGAATCTACCTCTCCATACCTTCTTGTTAACTCTGTCCTTTGCTATTTCTTGTTGCCTGTGCAGCTTGGCTACATGTTCAGTTACTGGAAACAAGTTCATATTTTATATGGGATCATCTTCCAGAAAAACCTTGTTCTTGAAAAGAACAACACCCAAACATAAACAATGTGTTGTTTCCCACCAAAAGTGCATGGGCTATCAGATAGCTTTTCGAAGTATGAAATCTTGTAATTTGTTGGTATTTTTTATGATGGTCCTTGGGGAAGGATTTGGAGTGTACCAAGTGATATTATTACTGAACTGTTAATCCAGATGCCTAGGTAATGTTCTGGAGACCTGAGTTTGAAACCCACCATGACATATGGTGGAATTTGAATTCAACTATAAGTCTAAAGCACAGTGGCTCAGTGGTTAGCACTGTTGCCTCACAGCACCAACAACTCAGGTTCGACTCGACTGTCTTTGTGGAATTTGCACAGTGTCAACATGGGTTTCCTCTGGGTGCTCTGGTCTCCTCCCACAGTCCAAAGATGTGTGAGTTAGGTGGATTGGCCATGCTAAATTGCCCATAGTGTCCAGGCATGTGCAGGCTAGGCGAATTAGCCACAGGAAATGCAGGGTTACGGGATAGGGTAAGGGGGCGATTCTAGGTTGGATGCTCGAGGGTCAGTGTGGACTCGATGGGCCAAATGGCCTACTTCCGCACTGATGACAGGATTCTATTTATGACCACGAAACCATTGCCAATTATGAAGAAAACCATCTGGTTCATTAATGTTCCTTAAGGAAGGATACTGCCATCCTTACCTGGTCTGGCCTGCATCTGACTCCATACCCACAGCAATGTTGTTGACTCTTAACTGCCCTGTGGGCAATTAGGGATGGGCAACAAATGCCAGTCTCAGTAGCGATGATCATGTCCCTTGAATGAATAATTTAAAAAAAAGAGTAGGCCTTTGAGCCTGGATGACTTGGTGGGTTGATTGACCTTTTACTAAGAAATAATATGCCAGTTACAGGATCTTCATCACAAACCAGTAAATCCGAATTCCAAATCCATGCAGCCGTATCAGTTCAAAACCTACTCCTTTCCTTAACTATTATGAATCCCTGATGTTACCGAGATATCAGTGGGAGAACTGTGGGTGCTGGAGGATGCTGGCATATGCCCGGTAATGCTTTGTACAGGTAATCTCAGGACTAAAGTGAGAAAATCCTATGTGGCCTCATTCTCTGGATTTCCTCTCCACCCCATCCCTCCTCACCCAGCCCCCGCCCCCCCACCCCCACCACATGGTAATTTGCGAATTTTCAGAATAATCAATGTGAATAATGACCACAGGCACATATTTCTCCTATGTTATTATATTTATAATTTTCTGTGGGGTGTGAGTGGTGCTTGGCTATTTTAAACTTTGAAAAGATATTGTGTCTGATGCAAATACATCTGCCCAGATGTTTGTGGAGGGGGTGGACGTGGAGGGGGGAAGGTTTTGATAAAACAGCAGTGCTCTGTAGACACAATACTCAGTGGAGCAATGATCAGAGAAGTCAGAGGCAAGCACTTTGTCGATCCATTGCTTTCATTCCTGGGCTAATGATTCTGTCTGTTTCCTGAACAGAGAGAGTGTGCGAATTTCATCAGGGTCCTTCATAATTACAACAAGACCCACACATACGTTTGTGGCACTGGAGCCTTCCACCCAATGTGTGCCTTTATTGAGCTGGGACCCCGGGCAGAGGTAATGTAATTTTAGCTACTGTTATAAGTGGTGCATGGCAGGGTAAGCAGCAACTGGAATGAATATCATCCATCATCTCCCTTCAAAGGGATTTTCACAACACCCTGTTGGTATTTTGCATCGATGATTCCCACTTAATACAAAGAGATTCATTCATTCAAAACATATTTCTGAGAGGTAATCTTTATTTTTTATCAGGAGCCTGTGTTTCGACTGGACTTACATGGTCTCGAGTCTGGAAGATTGAAGTGTCCCTTTGACCCACAGCAACCTTTTGCTTCTGTGTTAACAGGTAAAAAGAACATTTCCCCTTCAGTATGTAGTGTCATGTAATAAAGTGAGAATTCCTCAAGGTAAAACTGCAGCTAAAAGTGATTTACACTTTCACTGTGACTCCTTGATTTCTTTAAGATAAGTTCCTGATTTGTAAAGAATTAACATCTTCATAATTATTAACTCTAGATAAGCCAGTCAGATCTATGGTGTAAACGTTTGGAGATTTGCTGAAAGCTGCTCATATAAAAATGGAAGATTTATGCTGAGATTGATTTTCAGTAAAGATAACCATTGTGATATATTCAGACATAGAAGTTAGAAATCTTGAATGTCAAATTTAGAATTTGACTGAACTGGGTTTGAATATCACTGCTTTATCTTTGACTGTGGCACAGAACAATAGACAGTTTACATCCTAAGCCTATCTGTTAATTGAAATCCTTGGGACTAATGATCCAATAGGTCTCCAATCTGTCTAAAATGATGCATGGGGGCTGCAAAGCTGACCATTATGTGCCTGGAGCACTGTGGATACTGAAGGCAGTGCCATCATAGAGATTTTGGAGCAATTGAGCTTGTCTGGGCATCCAGACCCTGGCACCAGTGCCTCTTGGCCCAATGACCCCCACAACTCTGGTCCCTTGAGCCAAGTCGCTTTGCCAAATGGAAAATGCCAGGTGCAGTGGCAGGGCCTTACTGAAGGGTGGTGTCCATCAGTGTAGCCCTTACCATACCAATATGTCCTGGAAGTTGTGACACCGGGGAAGATGGTGGCATAGCGCCATTGTCACTACACTAGCAATCCAGAGAGCTGGATATTAATAAACAATTCAAAGTTTGATGATGACCATGACACCATTGTTGATTGTTGTTAAAAACCCATCTCGTTCACTAATTTCCTTTCTGGAAAGAAATCTGCTATTCTTACCTTATCTGGCCTATATGTAACTGCAAACTCATAGCAATGTGGTTGACTGTTAACTACTGCCAAAAGTGTTCTAACAAGTCACTGATTGAGAGTTGAAAGAAAGGAATGAGAATGAACAGACCACTTGGCATCGGCAAAGGGATCGAAAATGCCAAATGGTACAAACAACCCTGCCAACCCTGCAAGTCTTCCTTATTAACATCTGGAGCTGGTGCCAAAATCAGGGGAGCTGTCTTACAAGCTTGTCATACAACTGTATGATTTAGATTCATAAAATTTACAGCGCAGAAGGAGGCCATTCAATCCATTGTATATGTACCGGCTCCTGAAAGAGCTACCCAACTAATCCTATTCCCCAGCCCTATCTCCGTGGCCCTCCAAATTCATCACTTTCAAACATATTTCCAGCTCTCTCTTGAAACCTCCAATCAAATCCATCTCTACCACTCTCCCAGGCAATGCATTCCAAATTCCAACAACTCTCTGAGTAAAGATGTTTCCCCTCATCTCACTTCAAGCTGTCTTGCTGACAATCTTGTAGAGATGAAGTCCTTTTTCACATTAAGAATAATATCCATCGTGTTGTGTGGCACTATCACTTTGCGAAATGGGACAGATTTCGCACAGATCTAGCAACTCAAGACTGGGCATCCATGAGGCGCTGTGGGCCATCAACAGCAGCAGAATTGTACTCCAGCGCAATCTGTAATCTCATGGCCCGGCACATCCCCCAGTCAACCATTACCGTCAGGCCAGGGGATTAACCCTGGTTCAATGGAGAGTGCAGGAGGGCATTCCAGGAGCAGCACCAAGCATACCTGAAGATGAGGTGTCAACCTGGTGAAGCTACAATATAGGACTACTAGCATGTCAAAGAGCAGAAGCAGCAAGTGATAGATGGAGCTAGGTGATCCCACAACCAATGGATCAGATCTACGTTCTGCAATCCAACTCACTGGAGGAGGAGGCTCCACAAGTATCCCAATCTTCAATCAATGGAACAGCCCAACAAATCCATGCAATAGATAATGCTAAAGCTTTTGTAGCAATCTTCAGCCACCAGTACTAAGTGTTTGATCCATCTTGGCCTGCTATCCAGCTTATCCAGCATTACAGATACCAGTCTTCAGCCAATTCGATTCACTCAATGTGATGACACAAAATAGCTGGATGTACTTGGTACTTCAATGTCCTTGGGCCCTGATAGTATTCTGGTAATTATGTGCTCTAGAACTTGCTTCTCCTCTAGACAAGCTGTTCCAGTACAGTTACAACAGTGGCATCTACCCAACAATGTGGAAAATTGTTCAAATATGTCCTGTACATAAAAAGCAGAACAAATCCAACCCAGCCCCATCAGTCTACTCTTAATCATCAGTAAAGTGATGGAAGGTGATATCAACAGTGCTATCAAGCAGCACCTGCTCAGCAATAACCTGCTCAGTGACGCCCAGTTTGGGTTCCGCCAGGGCCACTCAGCTCCTGACCTCATTACAGCCTTGGTTCAAACATGGACAAAAGAGCTGAATTTCAGAGGTGAGGTGAGAGTGACGACCCTTGAAATCAAGGCCACATTTGATCAAGTGGTATCAAGGTGCCCTAGCAAAACTGGAGTAACTGGGAATCAGGGGTCAAACTCTCCAATGGTTGGAGTGATACCTAGCACAAAGGAAGATGGTTGTGGTTATTAGAGGTCTGTCATCTCAGCTCCAGGACGTCTCTGCAGAGTTCCTCAGAATAGTTGATGGAATACGCCCCACGTGCCTGGATGGGTGCAGCTCCAACAACACTCAAGAAGCTTTATACCATCTACCTACAAGTTCCCCTCCAAGCCACTCATCATTCTGACTTGGGAATATATTGCCATTCCTTCAGTGTTGCAGGGTCAAAATCCTGGAATTCCCTCCCTAATTACATTGTGGACTGCAGAGGGTAAAAAAGGAAGCTCACCACCAACCCCTTAAGGCAATTAGGGGTGAGCAGTAAATGTCTCAGCCAGTAACACACACATCGTATGAGTGAACAAAATAAAATAACTGCCTGTACATTAGGTAAGGGTGCTCACATTGTAGTGCAATCTACATGTTGCCACTATTTGGGCCATATAATTGATTACCTTTGGCAATACCCCAACAATCCACTCAATGATAGTACCACAGTGATTGGAGGACAACCTGACCTATCTCACTCTCTGAATAATAGCCTGTCACCTGTTGGCCAATCACCAAGGAGTATTCTCAGCAGTTTGATAAGACGCATTACACAGTCATTTTGCAAATCAGAAATCCCACCACACATCTGTTCTGATTAATGCTACAACAACAATAGCACGTTTCCATAGCGCCTTCAACATAAGGAAGCATCACAAAGCGCTTCACGGGAACTTTATAAAACAAAATTTGATGCTGGGCCATATAAAGTGATATCAGATGCCGATCCCCAAAGTCTTGGCCAAAGAGAGAGGTTTTAATGAATGAATTAAAGGAAAAAAGTGAGGCACAGATGTGGAGGGATGTTGGGAGGCTGTACCAGAGTGTGGGGCTGAAGCAACTGAAAGGATTCCCACCAATGCTGGAACAATTAAAGCTGGGAATGCAGAAAATCCCAGACATAAAAGAGCACAAATACCTCAGAGGATTGTGGAACTGGATGAGATTATAGAGATTCAGTGGACTGAGGTCATGGAGAGATTTGAAAAACAAAAATGAGAATCTTTTTTTAAAAACATGATGTAGCCTAACTGCAGAGCCAGTGTAGGCCAGTGCACACAGAGGTGATAAGGCAAAATCTAAGATATAGGCAGAAATGTTTCAGGTAATCTCAAATTTATGGAGGGTAGAATGTAATAGATCAGCTTGGAATTTAATGGCAAAAATGAGCATAGAGCTAATGATAACAAGGTGTAGAGCTGGATGAACACAACAGGCCAAGCAGCATCAGAGGAGCAGGAAAGCTGATGTTTCGGGTCTGGACCCTTCTTCAGAAATGCTCCTCTGATGCTGCCTGGCCTGCTGTGTTCATCCAGCTTTACACCTTGTTATCTCAGATTGTCCAGCATCTGCAGTTCCTATTATCTCTGAATAGAGCTAATGATGATGTGAATGAGGATCTGCAGAAAATGAGCTGAGACAGGGATGAAGCCAGATGATCATTTGGAGGTGGAAATAGACCGTCTTAGCGATGAGATCTATGTGAGCTCACAAGCAACCGCGCTTCCAAGTTTACAAACAGACTGCCTTAATCTGTTGTCATATAATTTTTGAATTTAAAAATAATAAATTCATAGCTTCAGTCGTACTTATTGCTGTGGTATCCCTGAGCGGCTTCTTTCTCTGTGCTGTTGCTGATTTATTGATGCAGCATATTCCCTTCAGTTTATACTGTGGTTATGTATGACACAAGTATTATTAAATTGATCTAATGATACTCAGGTGATAGTTTGTGAATGAACCTGACGTTAACAAATGATTAGCTTAAGATAAAAGAAACGAATGAAGTAAGGACCTTCCTAAAATGAAATTTTATTGCTATGTGTTTTTAAAAAATGAGTTCCAGTAGTTATGTGGAACTGCCATTTGATATAAATTAATCAGTGTGAATTTTTTTTTCTCATCTTGTGTAATGATAGCCTTGCCACTTTGAAACAGTGACTCTGCATTATCTAAGCAGTATGATTTTGACTACACATTTTTCCAAATATTAGTGAATAACATGACTTGTGATATTTGCAGCGCAAGATATGTCTGCTTTGCTCTATTCAAAGTCTGGTGTTTTAAATGAATTGTGAGAATACTAAAGATTTTCCACTCACAAGTGTTTCCTACTGTGATGTCTGACATTCTTTTGTTGGAAGCTCTTATGAAAAACACACAAGGACCCAATGCTTTCAGCACTGTGTCAAAGGAAACTGATTGCTCAGAGCACTGCAGAATAACAGAGCACAGTCAGATGAATCTTGCATCAGAGCTATGTGGAATTTACTATAAATGTATAAACAAGTACATTATGTTGACTGCATGAAGGGATAGATTTTGTTTTGGCTGCATATGTAGCTTTGATCAGCCTTGTGAATAAATCCAGCCCCAGGG